TTAACTAAAATTATACAATTTTACCAAATTTTAAAGTAAATTGTACGATTTTAATATAAAAAATTAATTTTGAATCCATTTCCCATGAATAATCATGAAAATTAATTTATGTTAAAATAGGGTATATACATATAAAATAATTAAATTATGTATATGCATTTTACCAATTATATTTTTCCACACATATGCATGTTTAATCGAACAAAGATAAAATATTTTTTGATATAATTAAAAATAACAGTGTGTAAAAGATAAAAATATTTTTTGCAATATATTTTGCTGTAAAATTGAATAATAGTTAGCATTTGAAAAATAATACTTATAGAAAATATTAAGTATCTTATTTAGCAATATCTATTTTCAAAATAGCATTTTTTATCTTCATATGTATATTTTTATGCTTGTTTTGAAATTAATAATATATTAGGTACTTTATGCATATGTCACCCCCTCCTATTTTGAGTCTCAGAGTTTTACTTATACGTAGAAAATGGTCATAGATTATTTTCTTCTCGATGTCAATCATATTTTTCTTCAAGTATTTTGCTTGTTTATTTTACCTTTTGACATTTTTTTTGTGATTTGTACTTACATTTCACTCATTTCGTTTCTACATTTACCATATTTCACTTTTTGCTTGAAGAAGAAAAAATGATTGACATGGAGAAGAAAATAATCTCTGACCATTTTCTAAGCATAAGGAAAACTCTGAGACTCAAAATAGGAGGTGACATACTATCCATAAAGTACCATAAATTAAAACCTATAATAATAATTAATTTATTAATAATAAATTAATAAATTTAGTTTTATTTTTGATGAATTTATGTTTAAAAATTTTTTTAACATTTGCATAAAATTAATGAATTTTCCCGACTCCCGTTCCCAACTCCAGAGGTCATTCCCCGACCCGTCCCGGGTTGTTTCTTCTCCCGAACATTACTAGAACAGTTTTTATCATTCTTTATGTTTGATTGGCAATAAAGATAAGGGACGACTACATTAATAAATGTCAATCATATTTATTACAAGTTTATGTATGTATATTTTCTTATTACAAACACATTTTCCGATTATATGGCCAAGCATAAAAGACCCCAAACTATTGAAAAAATATCTCTCTTTGAAGAAAGTTTGGTCATACAAATTTTTTTGACATTTGCATAAAATTGATGAATTTTCCCGCTTAAACTTTTTTTTGCGCTTAAACTTTTGGAAGGAGTTTTGTCGGTTGAAGTTTTGTCTGGACCGAGTTTTGTCATTCGAAGTTCTGCCCCTGACCAAAAATTACCGCTTATTTGATTGTATAGGCTTCTAACTTATTACAATTTACACTTTATTTTTATTAACTTAGCTTTATTTAATTAATGCTTTCTTTATCAAAAAATGCCTTCTAATAATACTGTTAAATTGTTAATTTTCCCCTTCATTTTATTCCTTTTATTTACTATTTTAGTTATTTTGGAGGTTTCGGCTGAGCTAAAAAGAGAAGGTACATCTTATTAAGGAGCTAACTAGGCACCGATATGCAGATATGCTCGAGAGGTCCGAAATATGCAAAAATTGCATTAAGAACCGGGTCCTAAAATGCTCGAATCAATGTAATAACACCATTTTTGAGCTTATCTCATCAAAGCATATCCGCATAAAGAACATGCATTTGCATATTTTTGTCAGCACTACTGATTACTAAAATTAGACAAGATTTGCTTAATGATGTGGAAAAATTTCAGCGAATCAAGAACCTAATCAGAGGACCTAGTTAATAAACGCCAAGCCCCTCCTTTTTAATTCTATAAATTTTCTCAAACAGGCCGTCATCATGAATGCCTTGAGGGATGGCTAAATTATAGAAATGAACTCTGTTTTTATGGATCTCTACCAGAAGGATTTATATAAACCTAGGTAAATCGAATTTTGTATACCCCCTCCTTTTTCCTTCCTCAAAATATTAAAAAAATGGGAAGTCAGTCAAAATTTATAGAAGTCGTACAGCTGTGCGAATGACACCAAAATTAACCACTTAACTTTAGGCCGAGATACTGACTCCCGAATATTGAAAAATAAAAGGGTTGACCAAGCTTATTCGGCTCTTGTTTAGTTTAAGCGTTTAATCGCCCCTTTATACGTCCAATGACAAGTTTATACGTCCATTAAAAAGTTTATACGTCCAAACAAATTTTTATACGTCCAATCACAATTTTTAAGACACGGTTCTATGCATTAAATCCTATCGTCTGGTAATATGCGTGTGTCATAACTCTAAGTGAGTAGAGGTTCCTATTTCCATAGATTTTTTTGTGATATTGTGCAGAGCCGGGTACTTTAAATATGTGATTGGACGCATAAACTTTTCATTGGTCTCTTCGCTCAGGGTTTTTGTAACTCGGTCTAATGTTAAGATCGGCGATCAAAATGATGCCCAAAAATAATTATTATAACAAATTTCTACAGGTAGACCAGGAAGTTTTTCGTCAATTCAAAGATAGTGTTCCATGGGCACCATGGTATACACCAAAAGGTTATATTTGTAGAGCTGCAGCTAAAGCCGTCGCCAGAGATAAGGTAATTCTTAAATGAGTTCAATAATTTTAGATTTGAATATTTTTTAGAAGAAAAAAAGGACTGATTATGTTTAAAATAAATTTTAAATCCTGATATTACACAAATATTTTTCTACCATCAACAGGGATGGGCCGGGTTGAGAAAAAAATAGGGTCGGATTTTCAAAATTTTCTTCGGATTTGGTATCGGTTCTCGGGTCGGGTTTCGGGTCAATAAAAATTTGAACATGAAGCCAGATTTTTCCGAGAGGTTGGAGGATATCAGTTATTTGCAGGATTAATAAGCAAATATATAAGAGTGATATAATAAGAGACAGGGATTAAATGAATTTGGATGAATTAAGAGTAATATCAGGGGATGTTGGGATTAAGATGTCATGGCATTAAAAGTATCTGGTGAAGATATCTAATCCACTGATTTATACATTAAATATCCGATATATCGCCGAATCCACCTTAATCCCGTAAATCACCCTTCGTCCACTCTTAATCCCCTCCACATTGCGGCAAAATTATTTTTCCTTTTTTGGAACTGAAAACTAGTTAGGTATATTTTTCAGTTCTTACTGTTGTGTTAATATTTTAAAATAACGACTAGATGCTTAAATAGTTTATATTTTTTGATTATAATTCAGTACAATCCTTCTTCTCCATGTGTTCAAAATGGGATACTTGAGTGTACTGATACAATTGATTGTGGATCAAAGAATTATATTTGTCAAAACGGTATTTGCATAGATAAGAACCCTCTAAATGGAGAGGAAGGCGTTGATCTATTTGCATTAACAAGCATTGATAAATTTAAATGTTTAAAAGAAAAATTGTCAGTAAAATTTGTTATTGTACGTGCTAGTCGTTCAAATGGTTATTTTGATTCTAATGCTGTTGCTAATATAAAAAATGCATGGGCAGCGGGTATCAAAGATGTAGATATTTATATTTGGCCTTGTGTCAAGCCAAAATTGGACGAAAATGTTATTTGTGACAATGCTAGGTAAAATTTTTGAATTAATTTTAAGGTAGTAATAATTGAAAGACTTCCTTTAGTTCTTCCTTTAATAAGAGACTTTCTTAAATATAGACTTCCTTAATAAAAGACTTTATTAATAAAAAAGCTACAACTTCATGCTAGTTGCTTTTATAAACTTAACGACATAGACATTTACTATAAGAACAAGTCGTAGCTTTGGAAGTAACCCTACTGTAGAGCAGGGTAGAATTTTTACCACTCGGTAGGGGTTAAATGACCAAAAAGTGCTTTACATATAGTACTGGTTAACCACAAGCAAATGACTTGTAGTCAATTACTTGATGTTTGGTATTATATAACCAAGTAATTATACCAGAAACCATAGGTTTAACTTATAGTAACAAAAGTACCTCGGATAACCAATAAAATTATTTTTATAGTACGGATAGGGCTCTGCAAGACCTATAACGATTGACTTCGTTATTAATAACTTTTATTAAAGAGAAACAATTATTCAAACACTCAATAAATTAGAAAATAATGATGCAAAATTTGGAAAGGTTTGGTTGGATATTGAAGAGCTTAAAGAAAAGAACCATTGGTATAAAGACAAATATGTATAAAAATTTGGAATTTATTGAGGCATTTTGTTTTATAATTTTACTAAAAATTTGTTAATTAAAAGGAGCTGATCAGCACTTTGAAAGAAAAAGATCAGCCATTTGGAATTTATTCTTCAGCAAGTCAATGGAAAGAAATTACAGGAAATAGCCAAAAATATAATGAAATTCCAATGTGGTATGCCCATTATGACAATATAAACAACTTTAGTGATTATTACAATTCTAATAAATATAAATTTGGTGGTTGGATAAATCCAACAATAAAGCAATACTATAATAATACATTAGAAGAGAAGCGTCATGTTTGTCGAGTAAATGTTGATTATAATTGGAGACCTTAAGAAACTGGTTTTCCAAGAATGGTTCAGAACAAAAGAAGTTATCATCTTCTAAATAAATAAATCTACAAAATTCTTATTTCTTTTATGAAAATTTTGTTTTATTTTGCGAAATATAATGTATCCAAATAGAAAATAAATATAATTTATATATAAATAAAAAATCTACAAATTTCTCGAGTAAAGGAATGTTGAATAATAAAATATGCCCCTTCCTTAATATAGCCCCCCTTTTCGCGATAGTTGAAAAATACAGCCCCATGGGGCTCTAATAAGTAAATACGGTAATGTGGAATAATAAAATAAATAAATCAAAATAAATAAATCTAAAAATTAGATTTGTAGAAGAAGCCATGATCAATCTATAGAAGATAAATAATCCTTATAAATCCAATTTGAGGCGCCTAAGAACTACAGAAATAGCGACGAAGCGCTAGAGAAGAATGCATAATCAATCTATAGAAGATAAATGATCCTTATAAATTCAATTTGATGCGCCCAAGAACTACAGAAATAACGCAGAATAGCTAGAGAAGAAGGCATAATAAATGTGTAGAAGATAAATAATCCTTATAAATCTAAATTCAGGTGCATAAGAGCAACAGAAATACCGACAAAGAGCTAGAGAAGAAGCCATATTCAATGTATCGAAACAAATAATCCTTATAAATCCAATATCAGGGACATAAGAACTACATAAATAGCACCGAAGAGCTAAAGAAGAAGCCATAATCAATCTATAGAAGATAAATAATCCTTATAAATTCGATTTGATGCGGCCAAGAACTACAGAAATAGCGACGAAGAGCTAAGAAGAAGCCATAATCAATCTATAGAAGATAAATGATCCTTATAAATTCAATTTGATGCGCCCAAGAACTACAGAAATAACGCCGAAGAGCTAGAGAAGAAGGCATAATAAATGTATAGAAGATAAATAATCCTTATAAATCTAAATTCAGGTGCATAAGAACTACAGAAATAGCACCGAAGAGCTAGAGAAGAAGGCATAATCAAATTATAGAAGTTAAATAATCCTTATAAATCCAATTTGAGGCGCCTAAGAACTACAGAAATAGCGCCGAAGAGCTTGAGAAGAAGCCATAATCAATCTATAGAAGATAAATAATCCTTATAAATTCGATTTGATGCGGCCAAGAACTACAGAAATAGCGACGAAGAGCTAGAGAAGAAGCCATAATCAAACTATAGAAGATAAATAATCCTTATAAATCCAATTTGAGGCGCCTAAGAACTACAGAAATAGCGCCGAAGAGCTAGAGAAGAAGCCATAATCAATCTATAGAAGATAAATAATCCTTATAAATTCGATTTGATGCGGCCAAGAACTACAGAAATAGCGACGAAGAGCTAAAGAAGAAGCCATAATCAATCTATAGAAGATAAATAATCCTTATAAATCCAATTTGAGGGGCCTAAGAACTACAGAAATAGCACGGAAGAGCTATAGAAGAAGGCATAATCAATCTATAGAAGATAAATAATCCTTATAAATCCAATTTGAGGGGCCTAAGAACTACAGAAATAGCACGGAAGAGCTATAGAAGAAGGCATAATCAATCTATAGAAGATAAATAATCCTTATAAATCCAATTTGAGGGGCCTAAGAACTACAGAAATAGCACGGAAGATCTATAGAAGAAGGCATAATCAATCAATAGAAGATAAATAATCCTTATAAATCCAATTTGAGGGACCTAAGAGCTACAGAAATAGCGCCGAAAAGCTAGAGAAGAAGGCATAATCTATAGACATGCCTGAATAGCATATATAAAATTTTATTTATATTTCGAAATATAATCAGTACGAATAGAATATAAATCTAAGACATGACTGAATAGCATATATAAAATTTTATTTATATTTCGAAATATAACCAGTACGAATAGAGAACACATATCTATTTTTCAGTGAAAAAGAACGCTGATGTGGTAAGAAAAATAAAGAATTATTTTCTTCCCCATTTATCCAATAAATAAATTTTAATTTATATATTTTTGTTATGTAATTTTAATTTTTAAATTATATTTTTTGTTCTTCTATTTTTAGTAAATTATTTCTATAAATTTTTTTGATTTACGCATAGGATGATTTTTGGATGCAATCCTGGAATTACAAATTTGGGAGTTCGAATCCTCTCCAACCCCCCCCCCCTCATTACTTGGAGGCACCTTGCCAAAGACCGAAAAACCCCCAAGAAAATTCTTCTCAAGAAAATTCTTTTTGCATTCCTACTTAATATTGATGGAAATGATTACAGAAATTTTTAAAATTTTTCAAGCATTTCCAGGGTGGCCCCTTCCAAAACACTAAAATAGGGCGCAGCCACCCAAAAATAGGGCAAAAATAGGGCAAAATCTGCCAAAATATGGCAAAAAATATGGCAATATTTAAAAAGCTTAAAAATAATTAAAATTTTAAATAAAAAGCTTTATTCTGTATATTTTTAACTAGTTTAAACTAAATTAAGCAAATGGGGATCAGAAATAAAGAGATCAAATGCCTGGATACTAGAGATCGATCTGGGTCTGGACAAAGGGCCAGGGTTTTTCCTGTACAAAACGTACAGTCCCGGGCTTTTTGACATTCCTAGGTTTTTCACAGGCCTGTGTTTTTCCTGGACTACAGGTCCTTGATCCGGACCAGGTCAATAAATCAAACCCAGTTCAGGTCAGGCCCAGGCTTTTCAAAAATTTAATTTTTTTCTTTTCAAAAATTATCAGTTTCTTCAGTTTCTAGCGCAGCAGGCAAAAATTTTGAGAATTTTGGGAGGCTTTGAAGTAAATCACTGCATTTTTCAGCGCCGCAGGCGAAAATTTTGATAACTTTCGAAGGCCAAGAAGCCAGATTTCTTTGTTTTTCTGCTATTTCATTTACAAAATTCTAAAATTGTAAAAATTTTACAAAATGTTAAAAATAGGGCAAAAATATGGCAAATGAAAAAATAGGGAAAAAATAGGGCGAAAAGTTCGAAAATAGGGAAAATCCTCTATAAATAGGGTAAAAGGGCCACCCTGGGCATTTCTAATATAAAAAATAAAATTTTTCTAAGTGGGGTTATAGTTATGTTACACCTAGATTCCATATAAAGTTAGAAAAAAAATTTTTGAAAAAATTTTCAATAAAATTTTTTTTAATTTTTGCTTTAAATTACATTTATTATATTTGGTAAAAATTTAAAAAATTTTCATTCACTAGAACCTAAGAAATTTAAAAATTTAAATTTTAGCCTCAACTGGCAGGCTTAAAAATTTGGCAGTCTGTGGCACGTAATCAGTGGTCAATTAAAATAGGTCCTGAGACGGTATTTATTCCAGAAAATCCCTCGTTACTGAAACCAAGGATAACTGGACGGGATAACGTTACCGAAACCAGGTATAATTTTGTTTGGACAACTTAGTAAGAAAAGAAAATCTTGAAAAAAATATTTTTAAAAAAGATTAAAATTTATTAAAATTTAAAAAATATTTATTGAAAGCAACAAGTAATAATCTTTTAAAAATACAATAAAAAGAGAGGTTATCAATTTAATAAAAGCATTTTTAAAAATTTTTAAATTGCAGAATATCATGAATATGAAAGTTATTTTTTGTAATTTTTTAAGTAAATTTTGTGAAATTTAAATATATTTAAGTAAAAAATAGTTTGAAAAATCATAAAATAAAGATTATAGGTTTGTGGCAGCAACCTGAAAAAATTTATAAAATACCGTATTTCCTCTAATAGAATTCTATTTTTCAATCATCCTCCAGGAGCCCACTATATTAGATGGGGCCATTCTATTAGAGGGGGCCATTTTAATAGAGGAAATACGGTAGATTTTGGCAAATTAAGAGAGGCAAAAATATAGGTATAAAAATATATATGGTAGTAAATGTGACTCAATCCTCTCCTCGATCCTAAGGAAATTCTGAAAACTTGACCCAATTTTTTCTCAATCTGACCCATCCCTAGTGCATATTAAAGATCTTTCCGTCATGATTTCCTATTCTAGAAATCGAAAATTTATTTTATGTCGGCAAGATCATTCGTGATATATTAGAAATCAGAACGATACTAATACAAAAATAAAGTTATCGAGTTATTTTCTGAGAAAAAAATTTCTGAGATATTTTCTGAGATAACAATCTCTAGTAGAGACCGGAATTTTAGTGTTGTACGAGAATCGAGGTCCTGAAAAATTCTCGATCTCGATAACCGAGATTTTTTATCGAGACTGTGTCTTGGTCAGGTCCAGGGGTGGGGTACCAGTATACCGCCGAGCTATAACTGAGTTCAAAATTGTCGAATCCGGGAGGCCCTGGTATGGTTAGATGAGCCTCAACGAGCTAAATCGAACCATAACAGGGCTCCCCGGATTCGACAATTTTGAAAAAAGTTATAGCTCGGCGGTATACTGGGCTCGCGGTATACTGGCCTGCTCCCCCAGGGGTGAGGCCTTGCGTTGCGTTTTTCACGATTGGCTCTTACGCTCACCCCTGGTCCTGTCTCTAATCTCTATTGTATACATTTGTAAGAGAAGTCCAAAAAATATTACAAGATAAAAATGATATGCCTAACAATTTTGAACAAATAAATGTATCAATGGCATTATTATAATGGCAATAAAATTAATAAAATTTTCTTTTAAAATTTCTCTCAAAATTAATTAATTAACGGCACCAGCCCCAGCACTTATTCCCATCCTTGGCACAGCAATGTTTTTATCAGTTGTTGAATTAAATTTTAAATTTCCATTTTGAATAAAACGATGATTTAATTTATTATTTAGTATTGGGGGAGCAGAGGAAGGAGGTGATGAATTAGAAATTGAAGATTCTTTTATTTTTGCAAGATCGGTTGAAGAAAGAGGAGGTGGAATGGATCGGCAATAGCATTGACTTAGTGATCTGAACATTAAAAAAATAAAATTAAAACATGTAGAAAAAACAAATAATAAATGTAAACAAATTCGAACAAACATGTAAACAAGACAAACAAATTTAGAAAATTCCAGAATCTCATACAAACATCGGAAAAAACAAATAAACATCACAAACAAGCAACTAAACAAGCACCTAAACATTCTGATTTAATTCAAAAATTTGGATAACAATTAAATTCAGAATTTTAAACAAAAATCTGAAAAAACAACAATCAAAACAAACAAACATCCAGAAAAGATACAAATAAACATCAAAAACAAAAAACTAAACAAACATCTAAACATTAACAAACATCCTATTTAAAAATTATTTTTATGTTAATAAACCCGGAATTTTTATTTAAAACACAACAAATGTCAAATCTGTTTTAAATTAAATTCTGTTTTGGGTTACACCAAGAAATTAATCAGAATTTTACTTGAACATTTAACGTTTGTTCACTTAAACAAATCAGAATTTCGTTCAAACATTTATTCAACATTCTTTTTCTAAAACAAATCAGAATTTTATTTAAACATTTAACGTTTGTTTTCTAAAACAAATCAAAATTCTATCTAAACATTTAAAGTTCGTTTTTAAGAAACCAGAATTCTATTCGAACATTTAATGTTTGTTTCAAAAGAAATCAGAATTTTATCTAAACATTTAAGAAAAAACAAAACACAGTCTCAACAAAACAAACATTAATACAACAAAACATTCTAATTAAAATCAACACCTTTGATGTTGTAAAGATTGTTGTTGCAAATTCCCACCCAAATCAACAGAAACAATTAAAGAATTTGTTGTATTTGGTTGTTGTTGATTTAAAATAAAATTGTTATTTTTATTGGTAATTATTTGGCGTCTTTCAGAACTTGGTCTACTAGCAAATGCTGCTTTAATTTTGCGTAAGGAAGAAATTGTTGATGTTCCCTTTTTCAAATTTTTATTTATCAAATCGAAAGAATCCAATCTAGGATTGTGTTTTTGTTGTTTTTGTGAATTTGTAGAGGAGGAGGAGGATGTTGAGGAAAAACGTGTTGTTTCTCCTTCCTCATGTTTTTTATTACTTCTATTTAATGTTGGAGGGGAATGTTTGTGTTGTTGTTGTGTTTTGATGTTATTTAAATGTTTGTTGTTGTTGTTAGGATTGTATTCTGGTGTGTTGTTTTCGTGTTTGTTTTGTTGTGTGTTGTTTTCGTGTTTGTTGTTTTCGTGTTTGATGTTTTCGTGTTTGTTTTGTTTGTTGTTTTCGTGTTTGATGTTTTTCTCTTGTTTGTTGTCTTGTTTGTTGTTTTGCTGTTTGTTTTTATCTTCTTTATTCTTCTCTTCTTTGTTGTTCTCATGTTTGTTGCTGTTGTTTTCCTCCGCAGAAATTCCATGTTTGTTTGTTACCAGGCGCTTTAACCAACTAACATCAACACCTAGTGTATGTCTAGCTAACGAACCTCTCCCATGACGACGCTTGCTAAATTAAATTTTAAATAAATTAACTAATTATTTAATCATTTAATCACCTTTTTCTCCCCTTATCTCCATTTAATATTTCTTTATTTTCGTAATTTTCACTTTGACTATTTTCTTCTTCATCCCCTTCTCCAAAACGGGGTAATTCTTCATAAGGACTTTTATTCGTATTTATTTCTCTATTTTTCTCAAAATTCTTCTCAACATTCCTCTCAACATTTTTCTTCGTTTTTAATCCAATCAAAACATCCTTTTCTTCAAATGTTTTCACCGGAACAATTTTAGAGGGAGACAAGTCAGCCAAACACCTTTTCTCTTTAATGTTTTGATGTTTATGTTGGTTGTTTATAATGTTGTTTGATATGTTTATTGTGTTAAATGTTTTTGTTTGTGTTGTTGTGTTTGTATTTAATGTTTGTTGAGTTTGAGTGTGTTGTTGTGAATGTTTAGATGAGCGTGAAAATGCGGCCTATAAATTGTTTTAATTTAATTCTGATTATTTAGTTTTCTTCTGGTTATGTTTTAATTTAATTCTGGTTATGTTTTAATTTAATTCTGGTTATGTTTCCATTTAATTCTGGTTATGTTTTAATTTAATTCTGGTTATGTTTTAGTTTTATTCTAATTATGTTTTAATTTAATTCTGGTTATGTTTTAATTTAATTCTGGTTATGTTTCCATTTAATTCTGGTTATGTTTTAATTTAATTCTGGTTATGTTTCAATTTAATTCTGGTTATGTTTTAATTTAGTTCTGGTCATGTTTTAATTTAATTCTGATTATGTTTATATTAAATTCTGGTCATGTTTTTATTAAATTCTGGTTATGTTTTGATCTAATTCTGGTTATGTTTTAATTTAATTCTGGTTACGTTTTAATTTAATTCTGATTAGGTTTTAGTTTTACTCTGAGTTTGTTTTAATTTAATTCTGATTTTGTTTAACCACGCTTATTCTGGTTTTACTCTGAGCATGTTTTAATTATATTCTGATTTTAATTCCTTCAATATTAATTTTCTAAAAACAAAATGTTCAGAAAATAAGCACCGTTGGAGGCCTCCACGAACATTGAACAGCAACAGATTGTTTATTTGGATTAATAAAATTATTAAACGTATTTTCCTCTCTATTTTCCTCCTTAATCTCCAAATCCTCTATTTTTAAATTATTTATTGGAGACTCTTCAAAAATCGTTTTTTCATCAGTTTCTCTTTCAGTTGTCACTGGCCATTCACTACCGACTTGGTAAGCAACCACAGAGGCGTGATCGAGTTTCCCAGGCATTCTGAAAAAAATCAGAAAAAGTCAGAATTATTTTTAAAATTAAAATTTACTCCATAATCATGTTCCTAATCATTTTTCTTCTTAATCTCTCCTCTGTTCTGGAATGTGTTCGAGTCTAAAATTAAATAAAAATTAACTTAAAAAATAATTTTTTTACCCGATAAAGTTCTGGGTCTTCTAAAGTATGCCTTTTAGCAGATGATAATTTATAGGCAAACTGGACAAGATTATTGCACAATTCAACTGCACTGATTTGCCTTCGTTCTTGGGGGGAATTTTGTTGAGGTTCATGGGGAATACAAAGGCCATTTGAAATAATATCTAAAAATCAGAATTATTTTATTATTCTGATTTTGTTTAAATTTAATTCTGGTTTTAATTTAATAAATTTTGACTTAAACATGTTCATTTCTTTGTTTTAAATTAATTCTGACTTGTTTTAATAATTTAAAACTTGTGTTTTAATTTAATTCTGGTTTTTCTGGTCTTTGTTTTGATTTAATTCTGATCTTTTTTAAATTTAAATTCTGGTCGTAAACATGTTTTAATTCTGGTTTATTTATTCCATATAAACATGCTTGTTACTTTGTTTTAATTTAATTCTGATTTTGTTTTATTTAAATTCTTGTCGAAAACATGTTTATTCTCTCTTGTTTTTATTTAATTCTGGTTTATAGTATATTCCATCTAAAAATGTTTGTTTCTATGTTTTGATCTAGTTCTGATTTTGTTTTATTTAAATTCTGGTCGTAAACATGTTTATTCCCTCTTGTTTTTATTTAATTCTGATTTATATAGTCCATCTAACTAAAACATGTTTTTTCAATGTTGTAATTTAATTCTGATTTGTAAATCCGTCTAAACATGTTTATTTTTCAATGTTTTAATTTAATTCTGATTTTGTTTAAATTAAATTCTGGTCGTAAACATGTTTATTCTCTATTGTTTTTATTTAATTCTGGTTTATATATTCCGTCTGAACATGTTTGTTACTTTGTTTTAATTTAATTCTGATTTTGTTTTATTCCAACTAAAACATATTTTTTCAATGTTGTAATTTAATTCTGATTTTTATATTTCGCCAAACATGTTTATTTTTCGATGTTTTAATAAAATTCTGATCTTGTTTTATTATATTAAAATACCATTCATTCTCAACAACATAAGCTCATGTCTTTGTGGGGCATCAACAAAGGGAAGAGTTGCTGCAGGCTGTCTTCGCTTCATTTCTCGAAGCGGGGAAGGAATTAAATTAGTAATATTATTATTTGTATTTTGCAATGGAGGTTTGTTTTGAAGAGAAAGATGTTGATGTGTGCCATTAATTGGTTTGCGAACATTTTCAATATTTGAAGCTGGTGCTGATTTTGTTTTGTGAAATGGAGGGGGAAGAAGCGTTGAAGAAGTACTTAAGGGGAAATAGTTTGTTTTTATTTAATTCTGGTCTTAAACCTAAACATGTTTTTTCATTGTTTTGATTTAATTCTGATTTTATAACTATAATTTATTTAGACATGTTCAGATTAAATTCTGATTTTTTTATTTCCAAAATTTTCATGTTTTAATTTAATTCTGGTTTTAATAATGCATTATCTAAACATGTTTATCTACCTATGTTTTGATTTAATTCTGATTTTGTTTTACTCTAACTAAAACATGTTTATTTTTCTCGTTTTTATTTAATTCTGGTTTTAAATTAATGCATTATCTAAACATGTTTATTTGCCCGTGTTTTGATTTAGTTCTGATTTTGTTTTACTCTAACTAAAACATGTTTTTTTCTTTTGTTTTGATTTAATTCTGATTTTGTTTTACTCTAACTCAAACATGTTTATTTGCCTATGTTTTGATTTAATTCTGTTTTTATTTTGCTCTAACTAAAACATGTTTTTTTTTCATTGTATTAATTTAATTCTGGTTTAATTCTTACTTGTTTCTTTGCTGATTATTTGTTGTTAAATTATTCTCCTTTTCATTGGTAATAGTTTCAGTTACTTCCTCTTCCGCCTCATCCCGTGGCCTTTTAATTGAGCAAAATTTGCCTACAACTGGATCGAAATTGTCAGATATTCCATCTGAGGTAATAAAGACTAAATCCCCTTTTTCCACAAAAGTCATTGAACAAGTTAAATTGTGAAGCTGAATTTAGATTGATATAAACAAAATAATTTTTAGCATAGTATATTTAACAATCAAAATTAGTAGAAGAAATTTAGATTGATATAAACAAAATAATTTTTAGCATAGTAGATTTAACAATCAAAATTTGTAGAAGAAATTTGGATTGATATAAACAAAATAATTTTTAGCATAGTATATTTAACAATGAAAATTAGTAGAAGAAATTTAGATTGATATAAACAAAATAATTTTTAGCATAGTAGATTTAACAATCAAAATTAGTAGAAGAAATTTAGATTGATATAAACAAAATAATTTTTAGCATAGTAGATTTAACAATCAAAATTAGTAGAAGAAATTTGGATTGATATAAACAAAATAATTTTTAGCATAGTATATTTAACAATCAAAATTATTAGTAATTTAGATTGAATAAATAAATGCAAATAAACTTATTTCTCTCGAGCAAAAGAATGTAAAATAAGCAATTCAAGTCCATCTTCTAAAAAAATAAATGCAAATAAACTTATTTCTCTCGAGCAAAAGAACGCGGAATTATACAATTCAAGTCCATCCTCTAAAAAATAAATGCAAATAAGCTATTATTTCTCTCGAGCATAAGCAATTAGCATAAGCATAAGCAAAATAAGCAATTCAAGTCCATCTTCTAAAAAAATAAATGCAAATAAACTTATTTCTCTCGAGCAAAAGAATGCGGAATTATACAATTCAAGTCCATCCTCTAAATAAATAAATGCAAATAAAATTTTATTTCTCTCGTCAAAAGAATTCGGTATAATACAATTCAAGTCCTAAGGTATTTCATTCTTTGTAAAGTTATCTAAAAATCTTAATTAGGGTGTGAGTTAGTATTAGATTTTATTTTCTATTGTAACTCATTATAATTATAAGGTATTTCATTCTTTGTAAAGTTATCTAAAAATCATAATTAGTCTAAAATTCCATAAAAATTTGCCTATCCGGGGTTATTCTTGTCTAGGGATGTCTCTTGTATTCGAAAGCTTTATAGTTCTAAAATACCATAAAAAGTTGCCTATCTGGGGGTATTCTTATCTAGGGATGTCTCTTGTATTCGAAAGCTTTATAGTTCTAAAATACCATAAAAAGTTGCCTATCTGGGGTTATTCTTGTCTAGGGATGTCTCTTGCATTCGAAAGCTTTATAGTTCTAAAATATTATAAAAAGTTGCCTATCCGGAGTTATTCTTGTCTAGGGGTGTCTCTTGTATTCGGTTTTCCGATAGAAATTTTATCCCAAAAAAAAAATAAATATAATTTATAAATAAATGAATCTACAAAATTCTTATTTCTTTTATGAAAGTTCTGTTTTATTTTACGACACATATAAATAATCTACAAAATTTCTCATATAAATATACATATAAATAATCTACAAGATACATATAAATAATCTACAAAATTTCTCAAGTAAAAAAATTATCGAGCAAAAGAATGTGGAATAATACAATATAAGTCCATCCTCTAAAAAAATAAATGCAAATAAACTTTTATTTCTCTCGAGCAAAAGAATGTGGAATAATTCAATATAAGTCGATCTTCTGAATAAATAAATCTACAGAATTCTTATTTCTTTTACGAAAATTTTATTATTTTACGAAATATAATTTATCCAAAAATAAATATAATTTATAAATAATCTACAAAATTTCTCGAGTAAAATTCTCGAGTAAATGAAATGTGGAATAATACAATATAAATCCATCCTCTAAAAAAATAAATGCAAATAAACTTTTATTTCTCTCGAGCAAAAGAATGTATTCCACATTGTATTCCATATTTAATAATTTTTAATACAATTTAATATAAGTTCTGAATAAATAAATCTACAGAATTCTTATTTCTTTTACGAAAATTTTATTATTTTACGAAATATAATTTATCCAAATAGTAAATAAATATAATTTATAAATAATCTACAAAATTTCTCAAGTAAAAAAATTATCGAGCAAAAGAATGTGGAATAATACAATATAACTCCATCCTCTAAAAAAATAAATGCAAATAAACTTTTATTTCTCTCGAGCAAAAGAATGTGGAATAATTCAATATAAGTCGATCTTCTGAATAAATAAATCTACAGAATTCTTATTTCTTTTACGAAAATTTTATTATTTTACGAAATATAATTTATCCAAATAGAAAATAAATATAATTTATAAATAATCTACAAAATTTCTCGAGATAATGAAATGTGGAGTAATACAATATAAATCCATCCTCTAAATAAATAAATCTACAATCTCATCACCAATCACATAATCTCATCCACCAATCATCTATATCTCATTTTTTTAAACTTATAACATAATCCATTGACTTATTTTTACTAATTTCTCTTCGCTCTTTTTAAAATCCTAAATTTCTTTATGATAAAAAATTTCTATACTTTATTATTTTATTTGTTTCACTTATAATCTCATTCTCATTTTATCCACCGAAGAGCTAGAGAAGAAGGCATAATCAATCTATAGAAGGTAAATAATCCTTATAAATCCAATTTGAGAACCCTAAGAACTACAGAAATAGCGCCGAAGAGCTAGAGAAGAAGACATAATCTATAGACATGACTGAATAGCATATATAAAATTGTATTTATATTTCGAAATATAACCAGTACGAATAGAGAACACATATCTATTTTTCAGTGAATTTGAGAACCCTAAGAACTACAGAAATAGCGCCGAAGAGCTAGAGAAAAAAAAAACGCTGATGTGGTGGCTTGGCTTTTTCAAATGCTCCTTCAAGATTCCTTCACACTTCAACAATAACATAAAATAAATAAAGAATTATTTTCTTCCATTTGTCCAATAAATAAATTTTAATTTTATTTGTTATGTAATTTTAATTTTTAAATATTTTTTGTTCTTTTATTTTTAGTAAATTATTTCTATAAATTTTTTAAATTTACGCA